TTGCTTTGAAGCTTCCTCAAGAGTTTAATGCTGCCCTAGTAACCAGTGATATCCATGCTAATAAGTAAATGACAGTTAGCTATTGAAAATTCCCACTGACTCAAGACTTTTGGTTAGCGTTTCATTTTTTCCAAGAGCTTTTTTTTCCCCCCAATAAAAGAGGGTAGGACGAAAGGAAGTTCTGCATACTCCCTCATATCCCCGGTGAAAGTTAATAGTGACATTTTTCCACATTCAGAAAGAATGGCAATGATCAGAAAATGAAAGAGTTTTTTTTTCACTGACTCAAGACTTTTGGTTAGCGTTTCATTTTTTCCAAGAGCTTTTTTTTCCCCCAATAAAAGAGGGTAGGAGGAAAGGAAGTTCTGCATACTCCCTCATATCCCCAAGTGAAAGTTAATAGTGACATTTTTCCACATTCAGAAAGAATGGCAATGATCAGAAAATGAAAGAGTTTTTTTTTTTTTTTTTTTTTAACCCCAGCTTAAAGTTGGGGCATTTTGACAGTTAAGTCTTAAAATTATAAATGCTAAATATAACTTGTCAGTGTTTGAACCAGTTATGCTTTCCCCTTTGTCTTTTATTTCACAGTCTGAAGTTAAAAACAAAGCATTGAAATTGGAAGAACTTCATTCCAAAGTTAAGGATCTAAAAGAATTAACTAAAAATCTAGAAACGCCACCAGACCTTCAGGTAAGCACTCAATCAGGTTTGTAATAACTGCTATACACTAGACTCTCTCTATCTCAAAAAAAACCCAAAAAACAAAAAAACAATAAAACAACTTATATTCTTTATGTATTTATATATTAAAGTACATATGTATGTATGTATGTATTCTCATTATATTATTATCATAATTCCAAGAAAACACATGGACCTTATCATAAATGGTGATTAACATAGTAACATCTTTAGAATTCTTTGTGCTAGTAGTAACATATTTTTAACTCAAATATTATAATGAGATTAGTTCCTTTTTTCCTTACTAAATTTTAGTAGTAGTATCACCCAGCTTGCTTCATGAACCATTTTATGTCTAGACAGGAACAGAGACCATATTTATGAATCTGATATCCTTATTGAAATTTTTCTAATTCATTTCCCGAGTATTTGGGTTTAAAGGGATCACCATTGCAAATCTCCTTTCAAGGCCCGTTAGATGGCACAAATCCACAGAGACCATGAGGCAGGCCAGGGCGGACCAGGACGCACCAGGAAACCTGGCTACTTATGTGCTGGTGCCCTCAGAGCAGCCAGCAGGAGGGATCTGTCCCGCGGGCCAGCACCGTGGGCTCCAGGCTAAAGATTCTGCTGCATTACTTTAACCCATTTGTTGCTGCCCTCATGCATTTTCTCTATCTTTTCTTTCTTCCCCTTTTGCCTTTGTCCTGTGTTCTGCTTCTCTCTAACGAATCAGCCTTGCTGGGTCAGCTGTACTGTTGCTCTGATGTGAGACGGTGTATCCCTCAGTTAGTGTCATCGGTGGATGATATATCTGTGCCAGAATGTTAGAAATTTCACCTGAAACAAGGAGAGCAGAAGGGGTGCTAATGATATAAAAGCGAAAAGGAGCGCTTATGCCTGCCACCCAGGGCGAGGGTATGAATGGGCGGCAGTTGAACTTTTGCAGAAGACAGAAGCAGGGTTTGGGGAGAGAGCTACTGTTGAACTCCAGATTCTCACACACGTACACACATAGGCATACTCCGGGAGAAGGTCCGGGAGTGCCTGTACCTTACCTCAGAAAAGGGAGAAGGGTTTTAGTGGTACCATCTGGAGAATAGGACATATGCCGCCTGCAACTGGCGGACATGAGAGTCTAATATCTAACTCCCTCAGAGCTGCCTTAACGGTGAGAGACAGGCTTGCTAACTGCTGGTGTTTTTGCCAAAGGAGAAATGATTGCTTCGAGTGGAGTGGCCAGCATCTCTGAGTCATCTGGGGTGAATGCCAGAGAGTGACCTCTGGCCCAGAAGTGAATTATGAGAGGAAATGAGAGAGCATCAGTGTGTAAAAGCTCAGATTAGCTAAGGTTTTCTGGGGAATGACGGACCTCGGCCGTGGGAGGTTACGGATGCCCGCAGGCTGCAGGAGAAAATGAAGAGCCAGAGAAAAGAGCACTGCTTACATCCAGGGAACTTCACTAGGCAGTCGCATCAATGAGGCGAGTCTCAGAAAAACACACAAAGGCCTGAGAGAGGAGACAGTGTGAACTGTCACCTGGCCTAGAAAATACAGGTGTCAGTTCCCTCGTTCACCTGCCAGCCTGTCCAAGCCTGCAGAGGTCAGAGCTGTGCAAGATGGGGGAATATAAATAAAGCAAAGAAAGACAAAAATTGGCACGGGGCCCTTTTCTGCACTGTAAGCTTCCTGTTTGCAGCAGATCTGAGCTGGGGCGAGAAAAAAGCCTTAACCTGTAAGTTCAAAGTTTTGATTATTTAATGGGCCTGGATGTGTTAATTATGGAATCGAAATTGTTTGCAATTCATTATGATTATGTTTCTTTTTTATTATCTGTGGGGCCAGGAAAAATGTAAGCCCTCTCAAAATAAATCATTCGGAAGGAAAGGAGAACTAGCCTCTGCGAATATTTGAAAATGGGAGAGAAAAAGAAAAGTGTCCGTGATGAGATCCTATGGATTTGTCCCCAGTAGCAGCTACATCAGGGAGAAAATGGGAAAATGTGTGAGCGATTCCCAGGGAGAATGCATAACAGATTTTTGGTCACCTCCCTGGTAACTCTGCAGAAGTCGAGGTCTGTTTTTGAAATATGATCTTGTGTCTTCCTTGGAACCTCTAACCGCCACTTTAATGTCCCGTGTTAACTGTAATCCTTACTCTTTCCATTTTTCCATCGCTTAAAATGCTTGGCAAGTCATACCCACTGATTTTTCTTTGTAGAGAAATCGAATGGGCATTCACAGTTAGGCTTACGTGTTTTCTACCATCAAGCTACACATCGATGGGATTTCCAGTAAACGCGTGTCTGGTCTTCACAGATGTTGATGAAATCTTACTGTATGTTTTAGTTTATAGAAGCAGACTTAAGGCAGAGACTGGAGCATGCCAAAGAACTTACCGAAGAGGCCAAAGGAACCCTGAAAGATTTCACTGCTCAGAGTACACAAGTGGAGAAATTTGTTAATGACATAACAACCTGGCTGACAAAACTGGAGGAATCCTTAATGAACTGTGCTCTAACGGAGACTTGTGAAGGGCTGAAAAAAGTAAAGGTAAGTAACAAACTCTCGTTCAGTGTTTACATTTCGGTGGGAACATCAGTTCTGTTTTGTGGAGACGATAATCAAAATATAACCTCTGCTCTCAATTGCCCATAACACCAGGCACAGCAAAGTGTAACAGGTGAAGAACTGAATGCAAAATGAATAATCTAAAGACAGAAAGCATGCATTGCTACAGGGCTTGCTCATAGGCTATATCTGTTATTGTTAATAATGGTAATTATTATTAAAAGGGTGGTATCTCTAGAACTGTTTGAATGTTTATGAATTTTCAAACTTGAATACCAAATACTTTTTCATCATTTAATTATTTTTATTGGTCAGTATGACTGCTTTCATCTAGAAAAGGACATATTTTAAAAAGGACAGTTGGGGAACCATCCTGCTTTCGTGTCATCTGTCCATTTTCATAAATGACATTCATGATCAACTCTCTGTGAAGCTTGTGAGTTGACTTTTCCACATATGTGATCTGTTCTCTTTTAGCATGTTTTCTTACTGTACTTGAGACTAAGAACATATGTTTTAAATCAGCCTCCGGTGCTCTTGGTTTGGCCTGTGACCCTGAAACAAAGCCCTAGTGGCTCATTGTAGAATGTGAGCTTGGGAGGGCGATTCCATGAATAGTTTCTAACCAACTGACTAAACCCAGGCCCATGAATAGACGCTTATGGAATCCGTAAGCATCTATTCAGTTCGTTTGTTTGAAATCCTAGACTAGCACCCAAATCCTAGCGACTTCTCAATAGCAGTTTGCAGTTGTTCCCAAGGGGAACTGGACAAAATTTTTGAATGATCAACTCAGATCTATCACAAATACACGCACACACACACACACACACACACACACACACACACACACACAGACACACACACAAATCTCATAAAAATGTATACATTACTGAATGGATTTCAACAGCATCAGTTTCCAAGAAAATTACCATAGTAGAGCAGATGGAATATTTTTCTTGAACGTGACGAACATCCTTCATGGCATACTTTCATTTTGTAGGAAATACAAAAAGAACTTCAAAGTCAGCAAAGCAGCATCAGCTCCACCCAAGAAAATCTCAATAGTTTGTGCCGCAGGTACCACTCAGCTGAGCTGGCGGGCCTGGGCAGCGCCATGACTGGGCTGATAAAGAAACACGAGGCCGTGAGCCAGCTGTGCCTCAAAACACAGGCCAGCCTTCAGGAGTCTCTGGAAAAACACTTTAATGGTGAGCTCTTACAGGCCGTAGCACAAATAGTTCGTTTACAAGAAAGAATCAAACCAAATGTTTCATCGAAACTGCCAGCAAAAGTTTGCAAAACTTTCCAGAACAATATCATTTGAAATTCATTTGTGGATTGAGATTTGGCCAGTAGAAGTGTTATGCTTGTGCTCTCAACATCAGCAGAATTTTTCCTCTTTCTCCCCAAGAAAGTAGGAGTCCACCGTTTCGATGATTCTGAATTTCATCTGCTTTTTCTACATATAGCTCATTTGTGTGGAAAATTACTCTCACTGCTGTAAGGAAATGACAGTAAACTTGGGTATTAGGAGAGGCCATGAAACACGGCAGCCCTATAATTCAGGAAATTGCCAGTCGTATGTCCCTGGCTAGGCTTCCCGCGTGGCTGTGCCAATGCTATGGTGTGAGAGCATGAAGACTCTTTGAGTCAGCTAGGTGGAGAGAGGAGAAGTTTTCTTCTTTTGCCATAAAAATGGTTTTAACACCCCTAGAGCATTTCTCCCCTTACACTCTTACATATCCAGGCAATTATTTATTCCCCCCCCCCCCCCCAAAAAAAAGAAACATAAGGAGAAATCAGACATTTTAGGAATATAAATTTCTTTTCCTGTCTTTTCTCTGAGATAATTTCTCAGTTCTGCCATGAACAGTCATGATCATGCTGTGTCGTAGTCTGCGTTGTTATTATTTTCTTTCTGGAGTATTTGGTAAGGCAAGATGCAATGGGCCAGAGGCCAGAATGAATTTGTGGTGATAATTCTGGAAGCTCATGCCCAGTTTTGGATGTACTTCTCATTTTCGTTATTTTTAAAAGAGTCTATGCAGGAATTCCAAGAATGGTTTTCTGGAATAAAAGTAGCAGCGAAAGAATCATCGGATAGAACTGGTGACAGCAAAGTTCTCGAGGCGAAGCTTCACGAGCTTCAGGTAGGAAAGCTGGCACCGCTTTTTCTTCTTCTCCAAACTGCACTTGGGTTCTTTCAGGTCACACCTAAATCAGCTCTTTTTCCAAATCTTATTTCATTGAAACTCGTCTTGCTCCTTATCAGAACTAGATTTCTTGAGTCATAAGATGATAGGCAATATGAAAAGTAAGTTGAAAAAGTAAGTTATAGCTCTAGAATTTCTAGATCCCTTCCCTCTCTCTTTTAGAGTCTTGACCATTCTTTGGCATTCACTCAAAACTAAACCTAATTTTAATTTCTATAGCAGTAAAAGCATAAACAATTATATCTATGTTACTATCATGGGGGAGTTTTAAAAAGAAGACATCACTTGTGCTTTTTAACAGCTTATGGTCTAAATTTGGAGCTCAGATATGTTCAAATTAAAGCAATAGGCATTATAGATTTTATAGGTTTTACTGACTATGAAAAAATGTATGAATTCAGGAAAAGGAAAGGTCGTTGTGATTTAGAATTAAGAAATGACTAACAGAAAGCTAGGTTCAAATTGAATTTTGGCTAAGTTTTTCAAGTGCCTTATGTGTGCAAAGCACTATGCTAAGTATTGTAAAAAAAAATGATTTTGAAAAATGAATGGGAACATGAGGATTTTGTGGCCTAGCGGGTGATGACAATCATGTAGATAACTCATTAGCCATCATGGCGGGAAGATTGGTATAATAAAGGAAGCTAGTTTTGCAGGATCCAGGGTGAGTTCAGATGTGGAATTGTCCCCTTTGAGATGCAGTAACTCCACAAAGAAAAGTCTGAGTAGCAATTGCAAATGCCTCTTGTTAAAGACTCTTCCTTTGGCCTTTGTTTTTCTTCTCTTGCTATAGTATCTCAGCTAATAATTGTAGTTAATGATCCCATGCACTGGGGTCACCGAATAATAGCAAATATTTTCTATTATCTTTATTTCCTGAAATAGAATGTTTTGGACTCCGTCACTGATGGGCAGAGCAAGCTTGATGCCGTGACTCAAGAAGGACAAACCTTATACGCACATTTGTCTAAACAAATTGTCAGCAGCATTCAGGAACAAATTACGAAGGCTAACGAAGAGTTTCAGGCATTTCTGAAACAGTGCCTTAAAGACAAACAGGCTCTTCAAGACTGTGCTTTAGAACTTGGGAGGTAGGTTGTTTCTATATGGTTGGATTGCATGTACACCGAATATGTTTTCAAAGGCTTAAAAGAAAAGAGCCATTGTGAATAAATGAATAATCTTTGAAAGCATGAGTTTGAATTATAATAAGCTTTCACCTTAAGTACTGGTTCATACTAGGGTAGCAATTGATTGCTTGAACTCTGACAGTATCATTTGGCTTTATTTTCTATACAGAAGAAGAAAAGAATTATATTCAGCAGTAATTGTAAATGACATAAATGCATGCTTTTTTTTTTTTTTAATGTCTGTTTGGCTAAATCAAGATATTCGAGCACTGACACCCAGGTTTTAGATTATGCAAGTCTTTTCTTTTTCTCTACTTCTGTTGGGTTGGAGTTATGACAGAAAACGCCTGTCGAATTTCTGTAAATTAAGATTCCAGTCAAGAATCTATGTCAACGTAGGTGAATATAAAATTAAGAAGAAAAAAAAAGCTTGTTACCAGGTGGGGAAAATACGTCAAAATTTTGAGCCCTCGTGCTCTTGTGCCGTATTCAAAGCTCATAAAATACAAAGACACAGAGATGATGCTCCTTTTTTTTTTCCAGCATGTCCATAGCCTCACTTATCCATTGGCCCTAATTCAGAGTCTTTGTAGTAAAACACATAGTTAAGTGCACGTTAACATAGGAACATAATCTTGCTGGTAATTACCACGTGTGACTGATTTCACGTAATCAGTTCCACAAGACAGGGTGATCCTTTTTTTGCTTGGATCTGGAGAAATTTCCATGATTTTTGGTTTTGTTACTGAAGTAAGTGATACTTTGGATGGATTTACTGTTGAATATCCTTCCACACTTGAAATTTCATGAGCTCTTAATTGCCATAAATATTGTGACCTTGGATATTCGAATTTATTTATTATAATAAGCACATAAGAATTTCTCTAAGGTGTTTTTTTTTTTTCTTTAGCTTTGAAGATCAGCACAGAAAACTGAACTTATGGATCCATGAAATGGATGAAAGGTTAAGTACAGAAAACTTAGGAGAGAGTAAACAGCACATTCCTGAGAAGAAAAATGAAGTCCATAAAGTTGAAATGTTTCTGGGAGAACTGCTGGCTGCCAGGTATGGTGCAGGCGTGGCAGGTCCTTTCCCT